TCTCGATTCGTTCCCGGAGATAGATGATCGGTCATTTAATCTTCCTCGGATGAATTCGCTAAGGACGCTTCTCAACGGGAACTTCGATTGGGCAAGCTTGGCTGGTCTTAACCCAATCCCGGAGCTAGCTCCGACAAACGGATTACAGAGTTACGGGGGTTACGACGCGTTTCGAGCGGCGGAGGGAGAGGCCGAGAGCGGTTTGAGCAACCCGCAGGTCGATCAGCAGCAGAACTCGGGCGGGTTGACTCAGAGTTACGAGTATAGCTCGAACGGGTTGAATCGTGGGTTTGGTGTTTCGGGTCAAACATTCGGGTTTAGGCAATGAGAGAGAGAGAGCGATTATTTAAAGTAATTAATTAAGTGATTGAGTTAAAAAAAAGCCCTTAAGAGGAGGGGCAGAGTGGCAATTGACGTAAATAATGGAGAACTATATGGGCTTTTACTGATTTGTTAAGGCCCAGAAAGAGAAAGCTTGGAGAGTAGTTAATCCAACTTGATGGGCCGCAAATGTATACGTTGCTTTCTATGAATTCTTTCTCACTAGAGGAAATCAAAATGGTGTTTTGAGATATTGTCAATGTTTGTAAGAAGTGGATTGGAAATCGATTCTTGAGTTAGTGTCTTTTACATTGATCATACATTAACCACCTTGGTTAGTGTTCATATATTGTTAAACTTCTTCATAAGCATCATAAACTAAATGATTTTTTTTTTTTGTAATCATTCTTTCTTCTTTTTTCTCCATCCTCTTTCAAAATTAATACTGAAATATTGTTTATTTAAACGACTTTATATATTCAATGTGCAAATGGAAACACCTATTTATGAGAGAGTTATAGTTGAAAAAAAGTAAAATTTTAATTATATATATATTTGTTATCTGATATGAGACAACAAAAAAGTTATAAAGAATTCTCTACACATGGTACTATTTATTAACTTATTGATCAAAAATACTCTTAACAGTTAAGGAGACCAATTCAAATCATCTTTCACTTAACCGGTCTTGCACATTATCAAGAGGAAAAACTTCCTAATGGACTGAACTTAGACAACACCTAATATATATATATATGTTTTTAACCACTTTTAAGGATAGATAATCATATGATTTTCATACACGTTCTCTTATTGTTTAAGAGCTTTTGGGAAGATGATTTTCTCATTTCAACCCTTGTTTTTATATGTTTGTCTATATATATCATTTTCATACATACAAGTGTTTTTGTTTACTTTTGCTGTTTTCCGTGGTATATCATACCCATTGTTTTTTTTTTTTTGGTCAAAATCATACCCATTGTATATTCTTTCCTTTTTTTAAACTTCCC